GGAGCAACAGCAGCAGCAGCAGCAGCAGGAACGCAAGGGGGACGCGGGCGAGGGAAGGAGGCTGAGCCGCAGCAGCGAGCTCTCGCTTCAATGCTCATTGTGTTTTCGTCCAACTGTTGTATGGGTTTCGCATCGATTTTGCCGCTTCCTGGTGCCCGCCTGGCCGGGCCATGGACTGACGCGACAGTTTGTGCCGTGTTCTAGGGTATCACATTTTTGTTGATGGAAATAGGCGATTAAAAAAAGAACCCCCAAAGTGTAGGGCAAAAGCGTAAAATCTGGGGTGGCGAAATTGTTTGTTGAATCGCCCCCCCCACCGCAAAATCGTTTTGGGCGTCGCGTTGGCCGTTGTCATCCCGTCTGTCGTCATCCCGTCGTCTTCGTCGTCTTCGTCGTCGTCGTCGTCGTCGTCCGTCGTCGCCCCAGGACTGCAAGACGAGCGGTCGTCGTTGTTGTCCGTCGTCGTCGTCCCTCAGGACTGGAGGGCTCCTACGCGTCGTCGTCGTCGTGCCCCAGGACTGCAAGACGCCTGCGCAGCGCCACCTCTCCAACTGCCTAGTTCATCCGCAAAGATCCACATAGGGCAATCGTCGTCGTCGTCGCCGCCCCCTGGGGCTGCAAGACGCCTGCGCAGCCGCCCCCCCCCCCCCCCCCCCCCCCCCCCCCCCCCTACGGGCCATCCGCAAAGGCCGTCGTCGTCGTCGTCGTCGTCGTCGTCGTCGTCGTCATCGTCGTGGACTCCAGGCCGCGCCGCGCAGCATCCCCACCCGCCCCCCTCCCCTCCCCCTCCGCATGCCATCCGCAAGGGGCCGCCTTCGTCGTCGCCGTCGCCCCCTATAGGACTGCAGGGCGCCCGCGCAGCCCCCCCACACTATGCCATCCACAGTCCGCCGTCGTCTTCGTTTTCATCATCGTCCGTCGGTCGTCGCCCCCTCATGACTGCAAGACGCCAGCGCCAAGGGGCAGGGGGTGCCTTTGACCAGTCCGAGTGGCCACCCCCGCCGCTTCGAATTGTCAGACCTCTCGCCCCCCCTGGTCCCCCGAACGGCCTGGGGGCCAATCCGAATCATCGGCCCTCCGTGGGCCGAGCTCCTTGGCTCGCGCTGGTATAGGCCACAGGGCTAGCAAAATCAGTTTCCTTCATCGCCCCCCCGCGAATTCTGCAAGCGCGTCGTCGGGAACCAGGGCTGCCCCCTGAGAAGGGCGCGGCCGGAGACCCAAGGCAGAACTATCGTGGGTCTTCGGCGCGAGTAGCGGAGGAGATTCGGAGGAGAAGTAAAGAGAGGGGGGAACGGAGGAGGGGGGGGGAGGAGGAGGAGGAGAAGGACCAGTAAGCCGCAGGCCCAGACAGCCGCGGCCAGGCGTGCACGCCCACAGAGGGCCAGCCGCGAACGAAGCCATTGTGTACCCATCTACTTCTTACATCCTTTTTCCATTTATACTCTTGCATTCCCCTTTCGGCCACACTTACAATTTGACCTTTCTTGTCTCTCCCCCTATCCGCGCTGCGGTCCCAGGACTTCGACCTTCGCGGCGTGCGAGCACCACTTGCAGGGCCGCTTTGGCCAACGACCCATGCACTGCAGCATTTTGTCAGCATTATCACCGCGACTCCGTCGACTTCTCTCAGCCCTGCCTGGTACTGCAGGGAGGGGAACGCGCGCAGCAGCACGCGCGCTACTGCGGGTAGCCTCAGCGCGAACCCTATTCGACCAACCTGCGCACCAGCAGCTTCAAGCAACACAGCTACTTATCAAACAACATCACAACGCACGCCATCCACCAAGACAAACAGCCGACACAATGCACGGCCACGCACAAGCACCCGAGCCGAAGGCAAATTCAACAGGGAAACACCCGCAGCGACAACATGACAACAAATGCAGATGACCATCCTGGCAGCCTGTCGGGCACAGCGGATGCGCCTTTCCAGCTCAACAGGGTCAGACCTACGCAGCACAACAAAAATACCAACAACACAATGGCGACGCCTACTACCGAGCAGCGCCGACCACACCACACTGGACACAGCAGCCGCAAAATCCGAAACGACAGAGGAATACCACTCCAATACCAAACCAGCACAACCACCGACTACACCAACAAACATCAGCGACTACTCACCGCACTCCAGCTTCGGCAGCATCCCAGACCACATAGCATACGCCACACGAGAGAGCCAGTCCTTGACCGACAACACGCCAGAAGCTTACCACAACGACGTCATGCACAACGGCAAACCTGGAGCCACTCCTCTCGATGTACGAGCATGGAGCAAATCCAAGGCAACCGAACTTAGAAAGCTCGCTTCACAGATCCTGGCAGTGGAGAGTGCAAGACCATATGCCAGCCAACTACGTCACGATCTGGCAAGCCTCCAATGCTCGCGAATGACCAATGAAACGCTTTGGGCCCCTCGCGGGGCCGCGTTGCCGTGCCCCCCCCCGCCCCCGGGGGCGCTGGGTGCCCTGGAGGACTGGCCGCCGCCCCGTGGTCTTGATCTCGTTTGTCTTGCTCTTGGCTGCCACGAGCCACTCCTGCAGCGCCGAGCGGAATTCCGACCAGGCCGCGGCCTTGCCGCCGTTGACCACGAACAGCTGCGGGTCTGCAGATCGATCCCAGTCGGAGATGCGAAGCATGTCAGGATCATCGCTGCGCCCGAGCGCGTCCACCTGAACCAGCGTGGTTTGCATCTAGCGATACCTGGTCGCGCATCCTGGTGTTATCTTGCTCCAGATTCTGAGTGACCGAGGATATCTTCGAGAGCTCGGTCTGCTGCTGGTCGAGACGCTCTGGAGCTGCTTCCGCACTTCCAGCGAGATAGACTTGGAGGATGTGGCCACTTTTTTGGCATGGCCGTTGTTGAGACCTCCATTTGTTGAATGGCCTGCTGGACCCGTTCCTCCGCCGCATCCACGTCTGAGCGCAGGAGGTAGTTGGCGTCTGCCCTGCCTTTGCCGCCCCATGCATCAGCATCGTGTAGAAGGTCTTCTGGCCGTTGCTGCTGCTGCTGGCGATTTCGAAACGGACTGCGAGACGCAGGGCTGGCGCGGTTCTCGGGCATGGCGAAACGCACACCAAGGAGGGCTGCACGCAGCAACCGCCCGAGGGAAGGTACGTAATCGAACCTTGCTCCTACAGGAACTCACTGGCAAATGATTCTTGAACTGCCGAGGGCTAGTGGTATCCGCACGGAGGCGCAAAACCCCGTCGGCGCAGGCTTCTTGAACCCAAATGGATACGGCGAGGAAAAGGATGAGGAGGGGAGGGATGATGAGGATAATGGATGATGCTAATGATAATGGTGACGATGCTGATGGTGCTGATGATGATGAGGAGGAGGAGGAGGCGCAGCGCCCCCTGAGGTCTCGTCGCCTTACGACTCGCGGAGCTCCGCAACTCGCCTCCGAAAATTGCCAGGGCCGAGGAAGTTAGACTGGCGACTTCGGAAAGGGGGAGGCGGGGCGCTACGCGCGCGGGCGCCTGCAGAGCCACGGCCTCCGTTAGGTCCAGCGGGCGTCCTGGCAACCCCGCGCTGGCCACGGCGAGGCGAAACGCATGATAAACTGCGATGATGAAAACGAGATCTCCCCGAAACCCTACGCGAGCTCGAGTGGAAGAGGGGAGATCGGAACGAAGGGCGAGGGCATAATGATAATGAAGACGACGTCAGTGACATACGTAATGCGTCACCGAGCCTTCGTCATCGCAGCCAGAGATGCACTGTTGCCGACGTTGTATGCGAGAGTTTGCGATCCAGGCGCCTAGGCATGCGGGCTGCAGGATAGGGGGCCGCGGCGGCGGCAATTCTTGCATGCGCGAGCGAATCGTGTCCCAGTCCACTCCCCGGCCCCCGAGATCTGAAAGGAACCACTTGCGCGGCCGGCGCGTCAGTAGCTCCTCTATAGGAAACGAAAACCCGGCTGCTTGCAGCTCCTCGGCAAAGATGCTCTGCCGCTTGGGTCTGGGGACCGACGAGCCTTCCTCGAAACGCCTCAGAGCTCGAGCCCCCCCCCGACGCGAAGACGTCGGTCCCCCGGGGATCCCGCCGCGGCGGCTCCAAGGCGCAGAACAAGAGGGGGGACTGCCAGAAAGGAGGGGCGAGGAGAGGCGAGGGCGCCTTCGGGCAGTGATCGATGAGCCCTTCACGCAGCGCGCAAAGCACCTCGGGCCACTGGGGAAGGGTGACCAGCGCAGCGCGCATGGCAGCGACAGCCGCGGTGATGAAGAGAGACCGAACACGCGGGCCATTCCAAGCGCCGAGGTTGAACCAGTCTGAGTAGCGGAAGGCCGACGTCGGCCATTTGAAGCGATTCACGCTTTACTGCCCATGCCAATGTGACGAAGATGCTCATTCCTGTTTTGCCGGGGCCAACTGCTTATGACCACCTCGCAAGCTCTGAATCGGGGTCGCCTGCTCGGCAGGCGGCGCGAGACTCTAGCAGCTCCGCTGCCTCCAAACTGAAGCCCCTACCCACCTCCAAACAGTGCGCCGGCCCGCTAACTGATCGCTTTCGCTGTCGCGGTACAATGGGCAGGCGGATAGGGACAAGCGCGGGACGTCCAGAAATTGCCCTGGGAGTCCTTGCCTCGCAGGGTGACGTGTTTTTCTTGAAACACTGCAGCGAGCTTGTGTACCTAAGCAAGTGAGCAGAACATCGTCAACTTCGGGCAGGTTAGAGGTCAGAAAAGTCGTGGCTTTCCTCCACGGCACGTCGCATTGCCAGTAGTCAGCTTGGTGGGGCTTCGCCTTGTTCGCATTCGTCAACTCAAGCAATTGCGGCGTCATCCAGAGCCTAGACGAGGCAGGGGTCCTCAATTCGCACGAAGAGGCCAGCGGCGATGGCTTCCCCGACTAGGCTCCGGACGTTCGTGAAAAAAATTGGCATCGTCTAATCTTCTGGTCGGCAGGCGCAAGGGCAGGCGGGCCGAAAAGGTGCTGGTCACTACGCAGCGGCGGCGGCCCGAGCCCATCGTTCTTTCTGGCCCTGGACCACGTCTTACAATCTAGGCCGAAGTGCAGACCGCGCAGCTCTCTGGCGGATGCGCTCGCGGAAGCCCTCGATCACGGCGCGGCTCTCGAGGTCGGCCGCAGCCCCGTCGATGTAGTCCCACCCTTCACCGGCTAGCCCACACTGGTCGAGTGCTGCTGCGAGGTTGGCGGGGCCGCGCATGAGCTCGGCGAAGGGCGGGGCGCCTGGGCCGAGGCCGGGCGGCGGCCCGAAGCGGCGCGGAGGGCCTTGGGCGTCTGGCTGACCAGGCCTCCTGCAGGCCGCTTGCGCCACCCTCGCTTCCCTAGGCACGTCAACGCCAGGCCCTCGAGCTTGCCTGGGACCTCTCGGGCCCGCCTGAGCAGCGCGACGGGAGGCGAGGCCTCGTGCTGCTGCGCCAGGGCGTATGCCTCGTAGCGCCTGACGCTCTCGTCGGGGGCTCATCTCCCGCGCTTCCTGATCTCTAGCAGAGAGCGCCGCCGACGGAGCCGAGCGTGGGAAGGGCCCCCGTGCCGCAGCCGGTACAGCGCGAACCTGTTGGGGAAGCCGAGGGCCCCGAGCGCGTCGCTCCAGGCGTCGAGGAGCAGGCGCGCCGTGAGTCCGAAGAGCGGCGGCTCGAGCAGCCCCGCCTTCATGCTCTAGAGCGCTTCGCCTAGCCACAGGGCCTTCGCGGAAACCATCAGGGGCGACTCGTCGGAGAGCTTGACCTTGCCCACCTCGCCGCACTCGCTGGGGCGCAGGTCCGCGGCGAGGCGCGGCGACGACGTCGTTGGCGGCGCCGAGTCCTGCTCCAGGAGCCCCTCCGCCTCGGCCGGGCGACGGCGCGCCGGGAACATAGTGAGCACCGCCAGCGCCGCTATGGGCTGCTTGAGCCTCGTGATCAGGATCTCGGTGCTCAGAGCAACCAGCGCCCATGGACTCGGCGGACGGGTGAAACCTGGGCCGAGCCTCTCCCGCCCCTGCAGCGCCCGCCCGCGACGGCCGCGGCAGGCGAAGCGAAGCCCGCCGCGTCGGGAAAAGCCGTGGCACTCCGCGACGCAGGCCGCGCGCGCCCGCTGGGCCGCGCCCTTGTCGAGCCCCTTGCCCCGAGCGAAGTTGGCGTAGCTCGTCGGCGCCAGGTCGTCGGCCGCTGGTGACCTCAGGGAGAGGCCGTTGGTTGCGGCGACCTGCCTGAGCTCTGCCGAGCACTCCGCGTGGGCCTTCTGAGTCTGGGGCGACCGCTTCGATCTCTAGGAAGGACTGAGCGCCCACGGCGACCATCTGGACCGCACCCGTGGCAGCGGCTCTCCTCGACGACCTTTCCTCGCGCGCGCGGCCCGCGAAAGGGCGACCGCGCAGCTGTTCCCTGCCCAGCGCGGCCCGCGCCTTGCCTGCTCTCCGCGCGGGCGCTCGGCGCAGGCCAGAGGTCTCCATGGCCGCGCCCCCACCGCCGTGAGCCCTTCCTTGTCCGAGCGATTGAACTCCGAAGGGATCCAGCGGTTCTCGAACCGAACATTGTCTGCGACGGAATGCGCTGCCTCTCGGCGGCAGCGCGGGGGCAGACCGAAAGCAGAGCACCAGCCCCGAGACAGAGCCAAGACGGTGCCCCGATTGTCACCCAGCTTCAGATGACGCTTGTTGAAGGCCCTCGTGGGCCGCAGGATGTGCCTAGAGGCCGCGTTACTGGCCCTCCCCTCCAATGCGCTTTCCGATGCGTGGGACGGGAACGCGAACACTTCGGTCCAGGCCCCCGCGCTGAGCACGCTGTGCGGGGCCCCGTCGAAGTCTGGATCGGGCCCCCAGGGGTCCTCCTTGTGGCTGGGGCCATTGCAACCCAAGACCGCGCCGACGTCCCAGAAGACATCCAGCCCTGCGAAGCACTCGCCCCTGAAGTTGGCCTCGCACGGGCCCCCGTTGCTGTCCCCCGTTGCCCCGAGAGCAGATCTCTCGCCGAGGCCGCCGTAGGAGCCCTATACCTCCTCCCACCTCTCATTCACTCTCCCGATGGACGCGACGACTGACAGAGGAAGGTTCGTTGTTGCCGCGGAGATCCCGCCGAGGCAAGCGTCGCTGGCCACCGCCGTGGGGCTCCACGGCAGTCAAGTTACTGAACGTCGCGCGGAGCAAAGATCGGCGCTGGGCAACTTCTGCCGCCGTCGAGGGTCACAGGCGCTTTCTCTCGTTGCAATGCGTTCTGATAACATCATAGAGGGACCTGAGGATGCAGGGCAGCTCTCTCCGAAGCATGCTGCGGTCGATAACGTGCCCGACAATGCGTTCGATCCCTCTGTCTGTGACCCTCGGCCTGCTCTCAGGCCAAAGGCAGGCTTGTCTAAGCCTCTCCGTGCGCTCTGGGCGTGAGAAGACCATCCCCTGTGCGCCGTCAACCAGGCGGCCCAGGCTGGAGAAAGTGGCTGAGGCTCTTGCGACCTCGTGAATCTCGACGCCGAAAGAGCTCGAACTAGAGATTCTGTCATCCAACATGCGGTCACACTGCTGCGGGTCGGCCCCGGCCGCGTTAATGTTATCACAATGAGGAAGCAGACGCGGCAGGCCCCCCTCCAGTGGCGGGAGTGGAACATGGTCCGTGAGCAGACGCTCAGGACCGACCGAGGCGGCCTGCAGACATCGAAAGACGTTGCAGTGCTGCCCCAGCCAGAACGCCCAGTTCCACCCCATCGGGACCACGGACAGGAAGGGCCAGACCCAACCCCCGCGCTCCGCCAGAGGCGAGTCCACCGCCCTACACCCCCACTGCGACGACACAGCCTCCGGCACCGGCGGGATCGAGAAGAGAAGCCCGAGGTCCTCCCTCAGCCCCAGCGCGTAGAAGTAGTTGCGGATATCCGCCTGGGCGCAGTACAACGTCTCTGTGAAACTGCCGTTGTCCTCGACGTCGCACCCCAGGCTGATCCTCCCGTAGGCCGCCGGGGTGCCCATGCACTGCGGCGGCGCGTGCTTGAAACGCCCGTTGGGGATGCGGGCGCCCCGCGCCAGGCGCTGCCGGCCATTCGTTTTCGATGCAAAGAACGGCGTCACCATGTCCTTTGGGGTGAAGGTGAAGGACACCATGTCCGCGGCCACAAGGTCACTCACGAACAAGACGTAGGCGTCCTCGTGCTTCCGCAGGTACTCGCCCATGCACGGGGTGATGGGGGGCTCGGTCTCGAGCTCATCAGCAGGGCGCAGCATGTGCGCCTCGTAGTGACGCAGATACTCCCTCCCGATTGGGTCGATCACAGCCTCGACCCGTGGCGCTGGCGATCCCGCTCTTGGAAGGTCTACTCGGGATCTGTCATGCTGCGCGACCGGATTCTTAGCCTCCTCGCCTGTGTAGAGGTTGGTAGCCAGAAGCTCACGAGAGGCCTCGCGGCGGGCGTGCACGGTGCTGGCTTGTGGGGCAGCCTTCACCTGGGAAAACATGGCCCGATGGGCCTCCCTCTGGTCTGCGTTGGCAAGTCCATGCCGCGGCAACGGAGGGCGCGGCAAGTTGATGCCGTCAATCACCTCATTGCACTGGATCTGGAGACGGCGGCGGCGCGCCAGCCTGCGGCGCATGCGCTCAGAAGCCCCTTGCCTCGTGGGTGCGGCCACCTCGACCCTCGGCTGCGGGGAGAGATCGCGCTGTCGGTCAGGCTGTGCGGTCAAAACTGCGGCGGCCCCCCCCCCGCTCTGAGGCCTGCTGCCGGCTGGAGGGCGGCCGAAACCTCCGGCCCGAAGAAATCATCGTCCGCTTCCCCCAGCCCCGCCTGGGGGGCGCTTGCCTGATTTCCGCAAATTGGCCTGCTCTCTCCCCTTGCGCTTCTCCTTCTGGATGGCGACCTCATCCCTTGGGCTGTCAGCGATGCGCACCTGGAACTCTGGCACGGACGAAGCTCCACCCTTCCTCGTCGCATGCCCCATGTAGATGTCGGCCGCGTAATAATACGGTCTCGACGGCGACCCACGGCGAGCATCCTCGATGAGCTTGAGCCGCCGAGCCAGCAGGTCGGCCGACTGTAGCGGCCTATGTTCACCTGGTCCACGGTCAACATCGCCTCCAAGACCCGAACGATCATCTCGTGCTCATGGACCGAGCGGCCCCCGCCGGGGACCCTCGCTGCTCGGACCCAACTCTCGTGGTGAGTGACAGCCGTGAGCCCCGAGTCGCGCCAGGAGCGAACCAGGGGGAGCGCCGCGCGCGGGCCCTGCGCCAGCGCGCCGCCTTCGGGCTCGTCGCTGACCTGCTGATCGACGGCGTCGGCGAAGGGTTTCTTCCGCGCGCCCTCGTTGTTCAACTTGAAGTGCACGCCCCCCGCGTCGTCCACGGCGTAGCTCTCCAGGCCCCGCCGAGCCACGAGGCGGCCCGAGACGGTCCCCGCGGGCAGTGCGACCACCGCGCAGTCACCGAATATCTGCGAGCCGTCGGGGAGAGGGTGCAGGGGCCCCTGTCCGCGGGCGTAGCCGTGATTCCCCGCTCCAGCTGCTCCATCGTGGCCTCGTTAGGCGGGCACTGGAACCTGCGGATCCTTCCCGCGTTCTCCCCTGGGGGGGTGTCTCCAGGCAGTGCGATCCACCTCGCCTCGGCTATGTCGCCGTTCTGCTGGCTCAGGCCCTCGGCATAGTGGTCGCCATCATCCGTGAAGGTGGCGATCAGCGAGGGCAGCGCGAGCGACGCCCGCGTGACAACCCGCTCGTGGTCCGCCTCCATGCCAAGGACATCAGATCGCATCAAGACGCAGCCCCCAGGGGAAACCATCGCACGTTTGGAGCGGCTGACGTCGTCTCACCTGAGCCACCTGCGCCCTCGCGAGATCCCCCAGGTCGGGATCCACCTCCTGGCCTGGGCGGCGCCGACGACGTCGGCCCGACGACGGCGCGAAGCTGAGCTAGCAGCCCCCCGCCCCGCCAAACCCGCGACGCTCGCGATGGCGAGGGGCGCCGCGTCGAAGCCGAGGGCGCCGCCCTCGGCCGGCAATGGGTGCGCAGTCGGGCGCGAGACGCCGGCGGCGGGCGGCGGCGGGCGCGCGAGCTGCGCCGCGTGGGCGGGGCAGCTGAGGTTGGCCACCGGGCGCGCGGGGCGCGTGAGATTGGCCACAACTGGGCAACTCAACCTGCAGTCTGGGCAGGCCGGCCTTCCGTGCGAGGAGGCTAAGTGCAGAGCGAACCGATCCACCCCCCTTCCAAAGCCCCGCTCTCAGCTTCTCCCCGATCGGAACCCATTGAACGGCGGCCGCGGGGCCGGGAAGCATGCGCGGCGAAGAGAGGATCCGCCGCTGAAGAACGTGAGCATATACGCATGCGGAAGCATACAGACACAGACATGTTGGCATTCCTCGTACTGGAAATCATTCAAGAGCGAGCTCTACTCAGCTTGGGTCATCAACTGCCACTCGATATCTTAGCTACTTCCCATTGGATCGGAACAAGCTGCGAAACGCACCGGGGGCGCACTCAGCGATCTTTGACCGTGAAGCTGAACCCCCGTCGTGGGATCGTGCCTGACATCCGCGATGGCTCTGGTCCGAACGACCATCTTGTTGAGGGGGGCTAGAATGTTCCGAAGCGCCTCGGCCCCAGGGCCCAGCCATAATCACAAGTACATAACCTCCGACGCGACTTCGAACTCCCCCCACCAGGCCGAACCTGGCTAGATAACGGCATCTGGACGAGGACGGGAGCACCCACGGAGGAAGCGGCGCACATCGCGCTCGAGACTGTCCGGAAGGGCAGCGATGAGAGGAGCGACGAAGCATTTGGCAGCCATGAGAATTAAGCCTGCGAGGCGCTCAGCAATGCGGGAAACGCGGGCCATCTCGCGATATCCCTTGCGCGAGAATGAGGACCGCGCCAATGTCGTTGGCGCTCGCGCAGGTCTCTTCATGCCCTGGCAACTACACGCTGCGAAACACGCCCCAGGGAGAGCTATCGATCGCAGTGGCAATGCGGCTGCTGCTCAACGGGCACCCTTGCAACGCGCCAAAGACCATGGATAGGATGCGCGGGTGGAGGCCTCGCCTCGAACAGAAAGTGTTGATATGATAGAAACTTTGGGTCGCGAGATGGCGCCCGCGGGGGTGTTAGTCCGCGCCGGCGCAAGCATGGGCCACTGCTGGCTGACGGACGGGAACGCCCCCGCACAACCAATGGCTAACATGGCACCATCAGGAAACAAGCGTGCGCTTACGAGGCGAGCGTGGGCATCAAGTTCGTAAACATTCGGCGACAAGTTGAGGCCTCGCATGTAGCCTCGCTGCACGAGGACGCCTGGCTCTTGAACGGCCTCCGACCAACCCATGTTGGCGACCCTAGCAACGATTTTGATATTCGTGTTTTTGGAACCAACGGGGCGGGCGCCGAGTGCGCTCATCATCGTCTTCCAGAACCCTCGTCGGGATGAAGACCTGCAGGCGCGAGTAGAACGACGGGTGCATTCGCTGTCCGCTAGCGAGCCAATGGGAAACGTGTAACGACACCTTGGGGCCCTGGCCAAGTCCCCAAGCGGCGCGCGCAAGCCCATTCGGGCCCGGCTCCGAATGCAAAACGCGGCCGGCAAAGCGGCGGACCGAGCGAGGGGAGGGGGGGGGGTCCGAGAAGTCCTATTTCAGGAGCGGACTTGGACAGGTACTTCTGGCCCCACCAAGAGACCGATTGCTGCTTCTCAAAAACGGAGCCCCAGAATTTGCGAAGAGCCGCTGTCTGGCCCCCAGCAGAGGTCTGGAGAGCGTCCGCCCCGCCGTCCGCCGCCCCCGCCAGATAATGCCTACGGCCGAACGGGGGCCAGATCTGCGCTCGCCTGCGGAAGGTCCTCGAATGCGCAAGAAGACGCGCTCGACGTCCAGGCGCACTTGACGCGCCCTCGGCCCTCTGGAGCCGCGCGGTTTCGGCCTGGGCTTCCTGGAACTGCAGATCCGAGCTTGCGCGCGCAATGGCGCCGGGAGAGGGGATGACGACGCGCGAGGACATCGCGTCGACCGAGGAGAAGGAGCGGAGCCACTGATGCCTCTGTCAGAGAATGTCGCCCAAACAAGCATCCTGACGCTTGGCGGCGCCCGCCAGAGGAAGAAAATGCGTCGAACGGCTCTCGCGCGCCGTCGGGCGACCGCGCACCTGCAGGTCGCGCGCCGCGCGCGCCGCCGCCGGCCGGCAGAGAGTCGCCAGCTCCCGCCCCGAGGGGCCGCGAGCACGGCTCCGCCCGACGCGCCGAAGTCGCCGATCTAGCGATGCGCTCGTGCTCTTCCAGGATGGGGTGGAAGTGTTCGCCCGTGCAAATGCCCTCGGGATTCCCCTGCAGATCGGCTCTTCGGAGCCCCGCCCTCGCGACTGCCGCGGGGTCGAGAGCAGCGCGCGGTCAGGCAGCGTCGCGTCGTGAAGCTCCTGCGGTTCGTCGCAGCGCCGCGCGCATTGCCAGAGCTGGCGCAAGGGCCGAGGTGGCGCCGCAGTGGAGCATCTGTCGATGCGCGCGCCCGTCCCAGTGCCCGCATGGTAGCGGCTGGGGCCGGGCGCGGCGAGCTTTGTCATCTGCCGAAAGAGCGCCCGCCATCGCGACTGGCCAGGTCGCGCGGGCGGCCGCCGTTCCTGCGGGGCCAGCGCCAGGTTGCCGACGTCGGCCTCGCGCGTGGATGAGCTCCGCGGTGGAGTAGCCCACCTCCTCGTCAGCAATATTGAAGTCGCCGATCATGAAGATGCCTGTCAGACTGGGATATTTCTTGACCTGGGCGAGTTGCTCGTGAAACGCTTGCAAGATGCCGCGGGAGTCACTCGCGCCCAAATCATGATTGCAGATGTTCCAGTGGTGCCACCAGAAGCCAGAGGCCCGATGCACGAGCTTGAGACAAGAGGGCCCAGCCCGCGGCACCCTCCTGAGGCGAGTTCTGGACATGCTCTAATGCTGACTTGGGAACCAACGCACATGCGCCGCCACGTCTAGGGGAACCACAAATTTCGACCTCTCCCTGAAGATGAAAGAAGGGCTCCTCCACAGCAGCGGCAGGGCCGTGCACCTCTTGAAGTGCCGTGATGGTAGAGGGGGGAGCAAGGAACGCACAAGCTCGGCTTTGCGATGAAGCACGTGAGACGGGGTGGCGAAGGAGAGCACGGCAGTTCCAGCTGTTGAACACCAGATGGCCAGCGTTGAAGACGGCGTTGCCCGCTCCACTCGATGCGCTTTGGGACAAAGACGTCATCGGCCAGCTTGTCCATGTCCGCGCGAGCCAGATTACGTTCAGATAGAGCACCCAAGTTCCACTGCACCCGCGGCGGGTCGGTAAGGTCATCGGCGATGCCAGCGAGGACCCCCCAGTCGACGGGCTGTGCCCCCACCTCCTTATCGATGAAACGCGTTTCCCCAGGTGCTCCTGTAGCTTGTCGCGCCACTTCCCTCAGTTGCGCCCCCTCGAGATCTCGAACACGATCAACGCTGATGCAGAAGGGGATGCGGCGCGCACTGGGGAACGCAGCAACAAACTCCCGCCAGACGCCGTGAGCGTCGCGAAGAAGACCGAGAGCTTGCCGAGCGCGCGAAGCACAGGTGACCGCGAGGCCTCTGAAGCGAAGGATGAACCTGCGGGCGAGCTCCTCGCCCTCCAACCCAACATCCTTCCCAGCCTCATAATTGCAAGCAGCCGCCCAATCGCAGGGCGCGTCCGCAACCAAGATATTGCCGATGTCCTCCCGTGCCGAGATAACGGAGATGCCGGGGCAAGTCGCCCGCTGCCACTCTGCGGTCGTGGCGATGGGCCCCCTCGGCGCAGCCCGCGCCAAGTCCAGCTACTGCTCCAACTTCGCGAAGCGGTCCGCGAGGTTGGAGTGCGCTGTCTCGGTCAGGCCAGCCCCCGTCTCGACGTCAACCACGCGGGGCTCCTGGGCCCTGAAGCGCTGTTGCATAGACTCATCGAGCTGGGCAACGAAGGACTGCACCGCATCTCTGATGGTCCGCAGGAGCTCCGCGCGCACTATCTTGGCAATGGGGTCGGCCGAGACTCGAGCCATCTCCGCGATTATGTCCTCCTTAAGCGCGCGAGCGTCGCGGACATGCCGAAGGGGTCGCTGCCTTCCGCCGCCACCGCGGGGCCGCCAGGAGGTGGGGCAGACCACCAGGAACCCCGCGAAGATGGCGAGCCCACGGGTCCTGTCCAGGCCCCCATCCTGGCGAGGCATCAGCGGCGGCGCCAGGCGGCGTGGGGAGCCCCGCCACAGGCGTCGCAGTGGCGCTGGCAGCCCGCTCGCGCTCAGGCTGATCACCGACGTTCGAGCCGCGCGCCTCCGAGACTGCGACCTGCTGACTGTCGAGGAAGGTCGGGCATAGCTCCAGCGCCTCCAGCCAGGTCGTCACGGGGCAGCAGGCTGTCCGCAGGGGCACGACCTGCACTGCGGCCGGCGCTGCGGGAACGCCGCGAGCTCACGGCATCCAAACTCCAAGGCAGCCGATGGTCAGCCCGACGATCGCGACGATAACCACAAGCCGAGCTGCAAGCCGAGTGGTCGGAGGCCGCGTCGGGATTAGCAGAACGCCCAGCCTGCTTGAGCGTCTTCTTCGTACTGGGTGTGCCGCCCATCCACACAACGCCAGGCCAGGAACTGGAAAGGCCTCCGTTTACCCGACCTGGGCTGTGCGCGGAGGACCAGCAACGCGCAGCTCGACTGGGGTTGCCAAGGACGGGAGCTGGCCTCGGATTAGGGGTATCCGTTTCCTGCCCGAGGGACATAAACATCTTGAGCCAACCTGGCTACGGAATGAGGAAGAGGAGGAGAAGGAGGAGGACAAGGAGGAGAAGGAGGAGGAGGTGGACGAGAAGGTGGAGGATAATGAGGAGGATGAGGAGGCGGAGGCGGAGGAGGAGGAGGGGGAGGATGAGGAGGAGGACGAGAAGCAGAAGGAGGAAGAGGAGGAGGAAGAGGACGAAGAGGAGGAGGAGGATGAGGAACAGGAGGAGGAGAAGGAGGAGGAGGAGGAGGAGTTAGAAGAGAGTGGGAAGAGCAGGAGGAAGAGGAGGAGGAGGAGGAGGAGGAAGAGGAGAAGGAAGACGATGATGATGATGATGCTGATGATGACGATAATGGTAATGATAATGATAATGATAATGATATGATGATGATGATGATGATGATGATGAGATGAGGAGGAGGAGGAGGAGGAGGAGGAGGAGGAGGAAGAGGAGGACGAGGAGGAGGAGGAGGTGGACGAGAAGGTGGATAATAATGAAGAGGATGAGGAGGCGGAGGTGGAGGAGGGGGAGGAGGAGGGGAGGGAGGAGGAAGAGGACGAGAAGAAAGAAGAGGAGGAGGAGGAAGAGGAGGAGGAGGAGGAGGAGGAGGAGGAGGAGGAGGAGGACAGGAGGAGGAGAAGGAGGAGGAGGATGAGGAGGAGCAGGAGGACGAGGAGGAGGAAGAGGAGGAGGAGGGGGAGAAGGAGGAGGAAGAGAGGAGAGGGATCAGGATGAGGACGAGGAGGAGCAGGAGGACGAGGAGGAGGAAGAGGAGGAGGGGGGATAAGGAGGAGGAAGGAGGAGAGGGATCAGGATGGATGAGGATGGGGAGGAGCAGCAGGAGGAGGAGAGGAGGAGGCAAAGGAGACGGAGAAGGATGAGGAGATGATTGAGGGGAGGAGGAGGAGCAGAAGGACAAGCAGATGGGGAAGGAGGTGGAGACCCAGGAGACTGGGGGGGAGAAGGAGGAGGAGGAGGAGGAGGAGAAGGAGGAAGAGGACGAGAAGACGGAGCAGGAGGAGGAGACTGCCCTCGAGGCTCGAGCTCTCGGACCCTCAAGCGGCAACCGACCGACCGACGGCCGCACCGGCGACTGGCGGCCGACGGGAGGCGGGCCCCCCAGAGAGGCAGCCGGGGCGCCGCCAGAGCGCTCCGTCCACCGGTCGCGGGCGCGGTCCAGCGCTCGAGGGCGGCTCCTCGGGAGGTGCCCTTCTCCCCCTTCCTGCCCAGGAGGGGAGGGGGATGAGAGGGGTCGAGGGAGGGCCCTCCTCATCCTCATGATCCTCCCCATCTCCGTCCTCCCTCCTCCTCCTCCTCCTCCTCCTCCTCAGTTCCCTCCTTGGGCCATTTCTAAGGTCCCCCCTCCTCAACTCTCCTGTGTTGAGCACTTGATTTGAGTACAACATGCGCTGCTCCTCCCGTCCCTTCCCGTGTCTCTTCGCAACAGTGCTTCGTAAACACCGTGGCTCCAGGCTCGAGGGTTCCTCGGGAGGTGCCTTTCCCCATTCCTGCCCAGAGAGTGTCTCCGCAAGTCCTCCCCACTGGGGAGGAGGCTCCAGGATCAAGGGTCCAAGGTTGAGGCTTTTGGCCGTTTCTGGGTCTCTGGCATGCTCGTTGTCGGCTGGCGGCGTCGGAGTTCGGACGTCGTGCTTTTTCGAGTCGCTGGCCTTTTATCAAGAATAGTCGTCTGACGGTGCTGAGGTTCATTAGCGGCTTCTGGACGTCAAATATTGCAAAACAGCTCCTGTGCGATATTTCTGTCACGCCACAAAGTCTGCCCCCCCTCCAAGTCGACAGCCCGGCGGCGGCGGCGGCCGCGGCGCTGGCGACGACAACGACGACGACGGCGGCGGCAGTGACGACGATCTTTTCTGAGGTGCGTCCCTGCCGGAGCTTCGAGCGAAGTCCAGCCATGGCGCCGAGGAGCTTCCCAGAGGCCCAGGAAGGCCCACAAGCATCCCAAACCCTCGATCCTCAATTCCTGGATCCTGGATACTCAACTGGAGACATATGGAAGCCTCCACTGGTCGAGGCCCCCGACGGACGGATGACGACCGTGACGACGACGGGCGACGCCGAATCCAAGCTAAACTCCGCTCTTCCTCCTGAGGTCCATCCTGCCCAACTTTGCAAGCCACATCCAGCAGTGGCAACGGAAACCTCTGACAACGGATGACGACGGCGAAAAAGACGACGGAACACAACGATAAACAGACATAGCGACGGCGACAACGACGGGCGACGACGCCGATGGGACCTGTCCTGGGGCGCGTTCTGACCAGAATCCCACCAGCCCTCTGGGCGTAAGTGGTCTAGGGAAGCTCCTCTCCCAACCCCCTTCTTCCCTTCGGGGAGGGGTTTATCACTGTTCCCTAATGTTATACACCCGCTCCCCCAGGCGACCGGCAGCCAACCAGGAACAATGAGGACCCCCTGAGGGCCACCCCCCACCATCCGTCAAAAACATACAAAATACACTGTGGGGCAAAGTCTGGAGTCATGTTCGTGAGGCCTGCGAGCACTTTTTATGGCTTTTGACAGCAGATTGCCTGCTGCGCGCAGGGCTACCATCCGTGACAGCACAAAAACAATACAAGATGTGCCTCGCGGCTAAATGTGCATCATGCGCGGCCACCCCACGATCACTGTCAAGTGGTGGCGTATGGCCTGCTGTGCGCTGGCCCACCAGACGCAATGATGGGCATCGATTGGTTTTTAACATGGATGGTGGGGGCCGACATGTTTCCCGATGTGTGCTGTCACGTGCGCAGGCGCACCTAACACACTCTGCACGTGCCCTGAACGTGGCGCACCTGGCGCGGCTGGAGTCCGCGGCACACCTGGCGCACGCGGAGGCACGTTGCGCATCTGGCGCACCAAGCGTGCCTGGCACGCTCGGGTCCCATCTGGCGCGCTACGCGCGTGCCAGGCGCGTAGCGCGCCTGGCACGCGTGGCGCACATCGCCCCAGCGTCGCGCACATGGGCTCGGTTTTGATTCCCAGTAGCTGTTACGTACTTATGTGTTGGGACTCGGGTGTTACTTATGTGTTGGGAGGGCGGGTGGGAGTGCGCTAGACGGCTTGCTACCTAGGAGGGTGTCTTGACCCCTCCTCCTACCCCCTTTCCTGGACTTGGACGGGGGGGACGGCGAGGGGTTGGAGCGTCCAAGATGGCCCAAGACGGCTCCAAGGGGAGCCGTGAGAGTCTAAGATGAACTCCAAGGTGGCTCAAGATAACGCACGATACCTCACGATGGCTCCCAGGATGCTCCAAGAGGCCCCAACGTTCCAAGACGGCTCCAAGAGGCGTCCGAGACCTCCAAGGAGGCCCCCAAGAAGCCAACATCTTTCAAACACCCAAAAAAGAAAACCGACCATGTGTGCTTTGTAGCCTTTTCGCTTCCGATGGCCATCCGAGGCCTCAACATGGCTCTAAGATGGCCCAATAGAGTCCCAGAGCGCCCCAAATGCGCTCCAAAAGGGCTCCATGAGACGATTTTCGGTGCTCCTGAGGGGGGAGGCTGATTGAAGCTCCCCTCCTGTTTGATCGATGCTCCAAGATGATCCCAAGAGCGCCCCTGAAGCTCCCAAGAGCGGCCCAGGAGGGCCCCAAGAGGCGCCCAAACAGCCCCAAGAGGCGCCCAAGAGGCCTCCAAAAAACCCCATACGAGGCCTCAGGTACCCAACTCTCCCTCCTTTTCCTCCTTCTCCTCCTTCTCGTCCTCCTCGTCCACGCCCTACTCCACCTCCTCCTCCTCCTGTTCCTCCTCTTCCCCCTCCTCCTCCTCCTCAGACGACGAATCCTCCTCCATCCTCCCCCTCTTGGGGTCTATGACAACTTCCCCCGCCCTTTATTCTTCCGCCTGCTCCCCCACTTCCCTGATCACCTCAACTCCCCTGAGCGTCGTTTCTGCATGGGCTGTTTTTTTTTTTTGGTCGCGGCCGCGAGACAACCATCAGGCGGCGAAGGCAACGTCCGGGCCACGGGCGAGGCGAATTGGCTAAAACAGCTGGCGGGGGTATTTTTTTGGGTCGGCGGCTCCAGGACGAAGGTCAAGAAGCGGGGCACACTGGTGGGGGCATTTGTTTTTTTTGGTCGCGGCTCCAAGGAAACGCCCAGGGAACGGTCACAACGTCCGGGGCGCGGTACATTGTAAATTTGCGAATCCAGCCGTCACTGTCGACAGCCGACCACACCTGCAAGCATGCTCGCAGTTGCACATGCAAAATAAAAAATAAACTAAATTCGCAGACGACGCAAATAGGCGCAGCAACGGACCGTGAGGCGCGAGCTACAAGTGCGAAGACAGCTGAGTGAGTCGCTACTGGTGGGGGTACTTTTTGATCTGCGGCTCAAAGGACGGCTCCAGAGAGCGGGTCAATCTCGACAGGGGCGCAAAGCGAGACGATTGGCAACGAAGGCACATAGGCCAACGCCGCAATGCACGTGCGAGGGACAAAATGAACCTCCTCAGAGCCGACCCGGGGACGGAAGACGGCAGCAGACTGGAAAAGCCGGCGGAGGGTCGAACTGTGGCGCCAGCCCCCCACAGACCAAGCCTGCGAGAAGGCGGGACCGCTGTGCGGGCAGCGCAGAGCCCGAGGAAAGGCACCGCCAAACGCGGCGAGGAGGAGCAGAAGGGGAGACACGCGAAGGAGGCGACGAGGGGAGGGGGAAGGAAGGAGGCCTCACTCACAGAGCACCTAAAGTGCTCGAAGACAAGTGCGTCGAACCATGACAGGCGTCGACAGTCTAGTCGTGAGAGACCCAGCCAGCAACTTCCTTGCCACTGTGGATGGGGGGAACGCTGCGTGGTACCACGGCTGCACCACCCAGCGGGAGGCTTGCGGACCTGCCCGTGGGAGAACCGCTGGGCTGTCGTGGGCCACGTGCGCCGTGCACCGTGGAAACGGTCGTTGGCGTCGTTGGCGCACGCGAGCAACAGGTCCGTCCAGAGGAAGGGGGCGACGTCACAAGCGAAGCCGGGGGCCGGAGGGGCGGGCCTGCCATGTGAAGGCTCAGTCCTGCCAAAGGATGGACCACTTGTACAGGAAACCTGCCTCCCCAGGCCCACCCGCCGGAGCCAGCGGGTGGTCGCGCCCCGCCGCTGGGATGGGTGTGACCACCTCGGAGCATGCATGTGAACGTTGCCACGATGGGGGGGGGGCCGAGTGGCGCGGCGCACCGCATCAGCGGGCGTGGAGGAGGGGGGGGAGGCGCAGCCGATAGCCGCAAATCCGGTAAATAAAAGGTGTGGGGGGAGGGGCAAAGCCGGCGGGCCTGGTGGCGGTGACCGCAGAGAACACAACAGCGTGCGTGTGCGTTGCAAGAGTTGTGGGCGTGAGGGGGGAAAGGTGCCCGTCAGGTGGTGGTGGTGGTGGGGGTGGGGTGGGTGGGGGGGGGGGCGACGCCGCCTTGCCAGGGCCACCGTGGGTGGGAAGTGCGGGGAGAGTGCGGTACGACAGGTGGGGCACATGGGGCGGGCCTTTGGCCTGCAGTCCCAGTCGTCCAAAGTGGGTGCCCGAGCGGACAAAAACGGACCATTGTCCAGTGAGAACAAGGCCAAGGGGAACCGTAGGAGTGGATTGTTTCAGCCGAATCCTCACGGACTACGAGGCCCACGGGCAAGCGTGGGTAGTCTAAACGCAGCGTGGTGGTATACGTGCACCTCGGCCCCAAGAGGCGGCACAAGAGTATTAAGGCCTCGGCCTGTCACTGCGGTGAAACCAGTCCCCGTCGCGAAGGGGCCACCCACGGAAGCGATGGCCCGTGGGGGGCAGCCGTCCGTGCAGTCTTTATCCCTCGCCAATTGCGTGTCTGTGCGCAGCAAAGGGACGGTTGAGGACCATGGGGCTGCCGACCCATTGGGCCCCGCTTGGCACAGATGGGGTCCCATATAGCCCACAGGGTCAGCGCGATGGAGACCACTTTGTATAGGGAGGTGGAGGTTGTCCCCAGCTGCCCGAGGTCGTTGTTGCCCAGAAAGCAAGCGTTGCGTTCCGTGACGGGCTGAGTGGCAACTCTGAGAATTAACATGAGCGGGGGGAAAAGGTCTTGAGCCGCAGACGAGCTGCGCAGGCCAGCCCTTGAGAAAGCGGGGAAGGGGCAAACGTGCAGGTGGGAAGGCGGGAAGCGCGCCGAGCGATTTTTCCCAGACAGGAGGGCCGACTCCCCATGCCAGAGGGGGGGGTGGGG